TTTCCATGTGCGCGGCCGCGCACGCGCGCACCTTAGAGGGAACAGTGGTGCGTGCATGTGTGCGTGTGACGCAAGCTCCCATTTCGACAAAGGCTAACACTGGCCTAATGTATGCATGCGCTAGCTGACTTTTAAAATGATTTTTTCAAAATCGTATTTGGTAAAATATATGCTTTTCTTCTTTTTCAATAGATTAAAGAAACGCTTGATCCAGCCCTGGAACCTATTCTTTTGAAGCAGACTTTCATTTCTGGTGGAAGACTGTTAATTCGCCTTGGAGATTCAGACATAGATTATGATAAAAACTTCAAGTTCTACATGACAACAAAAATGCCAAATCCTCACTATTTACCTGAGGTATAATATTAATTAGATATTGTAGCTGAGCTGCAATTTTCTGCAGTTATTCAATTGAGCATAATTCTGAGTAGACAACATAAAATTAGACTCTTAAGAATTTAAAAAGAGGCATTTTTTTCACTCAATTAAAGTAGTTGTATGTTTTGTTTGCAAAACTATCTTAGATTTTATTTTATCTAAATTAACAACATCTGTAAAAGTTATACTGGGAATGTCTTTGTACAGGTGATAGACAATAATGACACTTTCTGGAATCCATGATTTTTGCCTTGTGGGTTTTTTTTGTAAGCATAATTTACTATAAGAAATGGGAAGTATGAATGTTAATCAGCTTGTGTTCTAACGCTTCTCTTTTTTTTCTATGGAGGAAAATGGGCTAGAATTGGCAAACTGTTTTTTTATTTTTTCTTTCACTTATGAACATTTGAAATAGAATGTAATTTGAAATATGGTCATGGAGCCCAGAAACATCTATAGTAATTATATCAGAAAACAATAAAACCAGTTGTAACTTTCAAACACTTTCATACAGAAGGTCCTACAAAGGTGAGGTATATGAGAGAGAAAAAGAGAGCTAAAAGATACTATTTATTAAAGGACAGACCTCTCAGGTAAGTTTGTTTATTCTAGAAAAGTGATGGTTCTGTTATGAAACAATTCCTGCTTTTATAATGAAATCAATTTTGAAATTCTTGTATCTCTTTCTCTTACGCGAACTACACAGTGAACTAGAAATCCTGGTTTTTATCTATCTGTTCTCCTGTGCGCTGCTTGGGGAATCCAAGCATGGGTTATCTTTGTCCATTAGCCTAGAGACTGAGTTACATAATTGTTGACCACGCCTCCTCTGACTGGGATAGTTCAGTTTTTTTAACTCAGCCCAGCCTTAAAGAGATGCAAAAAAATTTCTCCTCTAGGATAATAGACAAAATTAGCTCAATTTACTTAGATTTTTTCTTCTTTTTGGCACGTTTGACTACGGATTGTTGGTGTTCGTCTTCCTTAAGTTATAAAACTCACAGTTCCTTGCGACTCTAGTGGCCGCAGGAACGTTCACCAGGATACTTACTCACCGGATCTGAACGGGTCTAATCAGTAGAGGGTCAGTTTGCCGCTCTCTTCCCTGATAAGTGGCTGCGGTGAGAGTCGGTTCGCCGCTCTCGTGTCGGCACGGGGCTCAACAACCCGTCAGTATCGCCTCCCGTTCTTTTCACTAGCTGCTGAGAAATGCAGTGCACTTTTCCCTCCAGCAGGCACGGGCACAATTCTTAGGCATGGGTCACCGTTTTCCAGTGCTTCGGGAGTCTTGCCGCCACCACACGGTTTTGGGGTGAGTCAGCCGCGCCATTTCGGCTGCTGGCATTCCGTCCCCCCCAGCTTTTTGGATGCACTTTGAATTTTGCGCCGACACAGGTGCTGGTGCCGGTTATTTGAACCGTTAGTGCCTTCACGCCAAATCAATGGCAGGAAGGGGTGGAGTTTGCCTTGCGCGCTCAATTGCAATTGAGGACGGAGTGAGTCATTGTGCTGCAGAGGTCGGTTCACTGCCATCACTTAGCACCATAACAAGTCAGCTCGCCTATTATCAGAGGTTTGCCCTGGTTTCAGAAGTGAGCTTGAGCCTTTCAAATCTAGCCGCTCCCCCGTGAATTATTATGGCCGATCATTCTGTCTCCGGAGGCAGCGATGGAGCTCCCAGCTCTTTTCCGCTGCACTCTGAGACTGCTGGGCCCAGCACCAGGATGAGTAGGTCCACCACTAGGGCCTCCAAACATACATCACATGCACCATCTGCAACTCCGGACAGAGCTGCGAAGCACAAAGAGAAGGCCAAGTCTTCGGCCCTGGCTCCTGCGCCTACCACTAGGTCCCCTCCTACATTAATGACTGAGCGCCACTCCCCTGTTCCCTCGATTCCTCCTGCAGGAATTCATGGCTGGTCCCCCAATCTTCCCACACCAATGGAGAGGGGTGCAGACAAAGGGGATTTGGGGCCCCGATCTACCCCAGACCTGTCTGCGGTGGGCCTGACTACGAGTCAAGCATTCCTGCAATCAGAGCCCGCAGCCACGTTCACACCCTCGACTGCAGGCCTCAGGGCCAGGGATGGGTCCGAATTTAATTTGCCCCCAGAGCTTCATAGTATGATTTCTGCAGCCATTTCCCAGGGGGTGGATGCAGAGTTGCAGCACGGGGCCCAGCATCTTGTTCCTCTCAGCATTGCCCGAGATCCTTCTATTTCTCAGGCTGATCCTCCTTCACCACTACCTTCAGCTTACAGCGAAGGCTCTTTCCTTGGTGAGGAGGAGGACGTAGCTGCCCTGGAATTGTCGGATGACGATGGTCCGGTGCAAGATACACCGGCTTTCTCTGGCTTATTTCGACCCGCCTTATTTAAATAGCTTTTGTACAAAGCTAAGGCAACTACCAAGATGGGTGGCGCCACCACTCAAGCTAGTACGGCTGTGGACCTTGATTCCACTGACCGTTTTTTCGCAGAACAGGTGCAGGAGCAGGATGTCATACCCGTCCTGAAGCTGTTTCTGGACGTTGTTCAGAAACAGTGGTCCCAACCGACGGCAGTTCCCCCTCCTAGTAATGGGGACAGGAAGCTTTACGCTTCCACGCCTGAATTGGATTAACTCTTTCAGTTCCCTACTGTGGATCCCCCTGTAGCGGCATTGGCCTCCCTGGCCTTGATCCCTTCTGAGATTTTGGAAGGTCTTAAGGCTGAGGACCGCAAGGCCGAACTGGTCATCCGCAAAACACACCAGGCCTGGGCGTTACGTGCAGCCACAGCAGCTTCTTTTCTTAATAGAACTTTGCTGGTTTGGTTGCAACAGCTACAATTTAGGCTTCCTCCCGAAGGCCTCCAACTACACCAGGACGTAAATAAACTGGTGGCAGTGCTGGGGTTCTCTTCAGATGCTACACTCAACGCGGCCAAGTTCGCGTCCTGTGCGGTAGCATCCAATGTGGCATCTGCCGGCTCCCCTGGCTTCGCCATTGGCAAGCTGATTTATCTTCCAAATGGTGTCTTGCCTCTACCACCTTCAAGGGAGGCCCTTTGTTTGGAGCTGCGTTGGACCCTATTTTGATTGAAAATAGGGACAAACGCAAAGTGCTTCCTTCAACCACCAGGCGCGGGGACAGGAGGTAGCAACCATATCCACCACAGCAGCATGAGCAACGCTGGACAAAGTTAACCCATGCTTGGATTCCCTTCGCAGCGCACATAGAAGGACTGTTCAGGTATGTCAACGGTCACTTTTTGGTACCAGTTAATATTTAGTAACAGTCTGTTTATTTTTAATCATATGTGAACTTAGTGTCAGCTTTCCCAGGTATGTCAGACAGGACATATGATTAGATGAGTTAATTCTACTTCATTGTAAAGTAAAGAATCTTGCAAGTGTGATAGTACAAATTGCCTACTATTTCTTTTACAACCTGAGAATTTAGGGAGAGTCCCTTCGGAGCTTTTTTCTTCGCCCAAAATGCAGGTGCAGGCTGTGCTACAGTATCTCTTACTTGACTGTTCCCTAGACACTATTTCTTCATATCTGTTTTGAAGGTCTTCTCACATACCATTACAACAAAGCCTTAATGTGGTTTGTGTGAACCCAGCCTTAATGTGGTTTGTGTTAACCCAGCCTTTTAGGTTAAATAAATAATAGATTACAGTTTAAAGTATTACATAGAACCAGTCACAATGGCTTTTACAATAAACCTTCTCAAAGGAAGCCTTAGGCTAGCTCAAACTGTCAATGAGATAGTGGATGACTCAGCATCTGGATAAATATAGTTTACATCAGAATTTTCCATGTATCAGTCAAATATAGTAGATTTTGGAAGGCTAAGAAAAAAAGCATTTTATGTTAAATTCTGCCTCTTTCTCTGTAATATATTACAACACTTAACCTTTTTTTACAATATTGTAGCGCACATTTTAAATCTTCACCTATGATTTGAAACAGGGAAAGGTACAACATAATGACATTACAATATGAGAAATAGTATATATTAGAAGATAAAGAAGAAGAAAGCATTGGGCTATTAATTTTGGTGCTATTTCCATGTCACCATAAAATGATTTTGGTGGGGTATTAAATGTTTTATAGTCCAACTGTGAAAATCAATTCAAGGCCACAGTTACTGTATAACTTTTCAGAAGTAATGAGCAGTGTAACAACAACTGAAACTGATAAAGAATGTCATTTGTACTTGGGAATATCAAGTCCTATCAAAGCATATTAGCTTGATTGGTTTGGCAACAAGCTAAGGGTCAAGAGGAGTTCTTAACCACTTTGGAAAATCCAGGGATATCTTAAGGCCTTTGCAACCAGTTTCAGAGTTCGAAATATTTATAAAAATATATAACTTCTTTTTCATTAAAGGACCTTAATTGAGATTTATGGTTGAGTAAACATCCACTACATTGCAATGTGAATTTCCTGTCATCTTTTGAAGGACCATATGTAACTTTTTTATCATTATTTTTCTATCCAAATATAACATTCTTTTTAACATGAAGATGCTTTTCTTTTTTTCTTATTCTTATAGGTGTGCATCAAAGTAACTATAATAAATTTCACTGTTACCCGATCTGGTCTGGAAGATCAACTGCTAAGGTACTGCTTCTATTTCTTAGGGTCATTTTTTCAATATGTCTACAGCATATAGCAGGAGCCTCTGTCTTATAGACTGTGTGGGTAAATTCTGTACAATTTCTCTGTAGCTTCATCTCACCTGCATGAAGCAATATTAGTTTCTTCTATTATTGTTGTGAGACATGAAAAAGTATTATATATATTCATTAATTAGATAAAACAAAGAAGTAGAAACATAATATTCATCAGTAATAGAAGAATGTGTTTCATTGAAATGTGGTTGTGTGCTGATAAGCATTACAAGAGAACTTCCTCTAAAATATGGTAATATCAATCTATCCAGTGAGTTTTAATTAATTAATTAATTAAAATCTCCTCCACACTCAAGGATTCAGCATTGAGATGTTGATTACTGTACCTCTGTAAATTTCACTGTTCTTTCCAACTTCCATTCAGAGGATTGTTTCTGGAGAAAACTAGCTCTGCCGTTTTTTATTTTATTGTCTCTGGTGCTTTGTATTGGGGAGAGGAGCAAAAAGATGTGAAATTTCCATTTGCATAGATCAAAAGAGGTCATGCCTTCATTCCTTATAGTTTCCAGTCCATTTAATATGGCATTGGCCCCACCATCCAATCACTTAAAACTAAGGAAAAAGACCCACTTAAAACAACTGCTGTTCCCAGCCTGCCATTATCAACTCAACTAACATGCTATCCTTTTGTAAAAGCTAAAGAAACCTATATGGGGCTTAAAGTGAGGTTCCCCATTGTGGGAGGCCATGCTGAAAACTTGCTTAATCTCAAACTGAGTTTTTTTGTCTGCCTTCCTAGGATCAGAGCTAATTCTGATATTGGAGAACAAAATAGATGAGAACAAATATTTTCTGTTGACTAAACATTTTTCTCGTTACTTGACACTTACAGTAGCTGCCAAACAGGAAACAGTAAAATTCCTCCTCAATCCAATCTTTTAGTACCAAACTTTTAATCCATAGCAAACACATGCTTGGGAAAATTGATAGTAGGAAGATATGTATGAAAGCACTTGCTGATATCTGGATCAACATTAAGAAGCTCTTGAAAGGAGTTATATAAAACACTAAACATTTATATGTATTTTTGTTTTATTGTACGTGGAAAATTAGAGTTCCAAATCATTGCTGCATAACAGTGTTTATTGTAAAAAAAAAAAAAAAGAATCATTTGTAAGTTTGCCCAGAAGCTTCCACTGTGAGACCCCCTACACGGCTAGGAGAAAGCAATCAGACATTCATTGAAGAGTTAAATATAATTTCCTGCTTTGGTTAATCCAGTTCATTGTGTTTATGATGCTGCAGTTTGGTACAATATGCATATTCCTGCCAGGTTTATGATTCTAATGCCGTCTCCTGAATGAGATTGTTTACACATGATTGTAAGCAATTCCACCTTTATATTAGTCGGTCTAATTTATATTTGGGAGGTATATAGTGAAATATTTCTAGAAAATCCTCTCTTTATTATAAACCTATAAGAAATTTAGAGACCTTTGTGACCAATAGGCTATGTTATAATGTCATGTTCTGATATACTAATATTTTGTAGGTTTCTAGCAAAGCAAATTAGAAATTACCAAATGTTTAACAATGATTGCAATAAAAAATACATGTACCAAAATATTTCATGAAGTTCTTGCAATAAACCCTAATAATTCTCATTAATGATTTGGGGTAACTTTTCCCTTGTGAAATATTCAGTAAAGATTTAAAAGATGTATAGAATTAGTGAGCCCATTCTAAAAAATCAGAAAAAAAATAATTCATTGTTTTAGATAAGTGAGATTATTTATGTCAATGTTTCCTTAATCAATTTCTTTTTTATCCAAGTTAGAGCTAAGAGACAGCCTAGAGTGCTTCTTTGAATGGAGGGGCACCATGATTCAAAAAGAAAGGTGTTATAATACATTTAAAGGTTTGATATCTTCTCAGTGGAAAGCCAGTTTGATGTAGTGGTTAAGACATCAAGCTAGATGCCAAGAGACAGTGAGTTCTAGTTCCACCATAGACACAAAGCTAGTCATTTGGGCGAGTCACTTTCTCTCAAGGCCATGCCAAATCACTTGTGAAAAATCTTGCCAAGAAAACTGCAGGAACTCATTCAGTTCCTGAGAGAATCAGACATGACTAAACAAAAGAAAAATAAATATTCTTCATAGCATGTTTCAAAAGGATAATCAATGTGATTAAAGATATTTTCAGTGATATTTGAGTGGTTTAATAATAAAGCAACACATATGCATAAGCAGATTGTTGGGAAACTTAAACTCTCACAATTCTCAGTTTTAACACACCCTCAAACTAGTTTGAGGAAAAGTGCAGAAAGATTGTAATCTTCATAATGGTCAGTGGCAGACAAATTGTTCTACAGCATGTCAATGTATGCATATATGACTACAAATCAATGGTGGGATTAAAAAAATTACTATCAATTCTGTGGGTGTGGCTTGGTGGGCATGACAGGGGAAGGATACTGTAAAATGTCTATTCCCTCCCCACTTCAGGGGAAGGTTACTGCAAAATCCCCATTCCCTCCCAATCAGCTGGGACTCGGGAGGCAGAGAATAGATGAGGGCAGTCAGAGGTGGTATTTACTGGTTCTCCGAACTACTCAAAATTTCCGCTACCGGTTCAAATGCCACCTCTGGTTCTAATTACTAATAATTACTTAAATAAAATTACAAATTCTGACAAAATGTATCCCTCAATTTTAATATTTTCCAAATGCTACCAATAAAATGGAAATAATATTTATCTGGCAAAATGAGGAGGATTACTGCTAAAACAGCAGCGTTGCTTTCCATATTGAAATAGTTCCTATCTTTCACTTTTATCTATATTGTTGGCGATTTCATAAATAATAAATATTTTAAAATAAATATATGTCTATGCCAGTGACGTGCGGTGACGGTTACCGTTGGTGAGGCAAGACCGCAGCAGCGGCGAGAAGCAACGT